CAGTGTTTAAATATTGACAGTAGACAGAGTTGAGAGAGAAAGTAGATCCGAGAAGGATGAAACCATCACGTTAAACATGACTTCTATGTTGATAAATTAAACTCAATTGAACATTAATTATTGTACATATCTGATATAGCATTGTATTAGCACCCCCACCCCCACCCCACACACACACACACACACACTTTTAAAAACAAAGTTACACCACTGATTTCTAAGGCAGCTGTCTAACTCTGAGATGGCAAATGGGAACATGGTTTGAGTAACATGAGCAACACATTATTAGCTGTTTGATAATGTAAACAAGCAAAAGGCTTATCATATCAATTACTATTATGTGTCCAATGTAGAGAGCAATACTGTACATAACAACGCATTACCATTCTGATACATCGACTTGTAGACGAGCCTGTACAATTCACTCTTCCTCTTATTCTTCTGAATTAGTTTCTGGTTCAAATACATATGGCTGAATTAAATCAATATTTCCTTGCCATCGTGTAGCTTTTACCACAGTAAAGTTGAGCGAGTGGATCAGGTATTTTGAGCCAGTGTAAGTGAGTGGAGGCGGGGCTCATTTGGATATTCATATACTAAATGAAGCAAGGGTGTAGAGTAACATTCAAGCTATTTTAAGGCATGAAGACATTATTTTCAACAGGAAAAAATGTTTTAAATGTGTCATTTTGGTGATCAAAGATGGGTTTTAAGGAATAAAATGATAAACTACAGGGGGACTTGAACACTCTCAAAAGAGCAGATTCTGTTCTATAAAAAATTTCAGATATACAATTACAGCTAAGAAAAGATTTGAACATTTTCATGTCTATATCATCTAGCCCTAAGGTCAATAGGTACAAATTCAAGTTCTGTCACAAACTTTATCTGACCAAATGGAGATGCATCAGCATCGAGTGTCTGTCTTCCTCATTCCTTCCCCGAGACAGGACTTGTGGGTATTTGAAGTGACGGACAGGGTGAAACTCTAGTCTGTGAGGGAGGGACTTTCTGCACTGGTGCTGACCCAAATTTCTTTCAGTCCACATCAAAACTCAGTATCAATGTACCCATCTCATCTCAGTGCACAACACAGTAAACATGCCTTTTCTAAGGCACTTTGTCAGGGTGCAAACTGCCTTACATCACGACTGGAGGCGGGACCATCATGTGAGCAATTAACAAACCAGCTGATCTTCATTTACAGAATTCTATTTTTAAATGATGAGCTAGTTTGTGAACAATCCATATTGACGGCCCTAATGACTCCAGAGTTTAGGCCCATTTTTTAAACGGGTTGTGCTCAAGCCAATAAATTCAACAATATTTGGGCAAATAAAACACCATAAATGGGATAACTAAAAAAGAAGATATTTTGAAGAATGTTTGTCCATACAATGAAAGTCAGTGGGGTGTAATGTTGTTTTGGACCCCATTTACTTTCATTGTGTGGAAAAAAAGGCGAAACATTCTTAAAATGCCAATAAAGAACCATTTATTTTTAAGAGCATAGATTCAGGATGGTCCATCTGCTTATTAACTCAAACATCAGGTCAAATCACCTTCCATTTTGAACTTGAAGGAACTTCTAATTTGTTAGATGCCAGTACTTTGCTGCATTACTTTACAATTTCATTGCCATGCTGACTTTCTTAATGCGCCGCGAGAAGCTGAAAGAAGTAGGGTGAGGTTAGCCAGTTCATTACTTGCTCTTAAGATTTTGGGGCCTGACATTTTTTTTTCTATTAAGAAATCAATTTTATTCAGCCAGGCTGCATAACGTTTCTGAACAATTTCTATGTCAACTTGCCGTGAGATGCTGAAAACTTCCAGCTGAAGATCCAACTGCAAGTTTTCAGCAGAAGGGTGAGGTTAGCCGGTTCATTACTTGCGCCTATGTTTTTGTTTTCGCATAGATTAGAAGTGAGGAAATCTTGACAAGGTTCTTTAGGGAGAGAGAAAGAGAGAGCGAGGTTCTACTGTCCTACAGCATTCCAACTTCCAGCAACGGCGGTGTGAAGCTAGGAGTCTGGTTACACCCCCTCTCAATACCTTCTTTGTGTCAGATGCAGTCTTTGGTCGCTCCACCGCCTCGCCACCCTACTGGCTTGTTTTAACGTCCATCAGCAAGCTAAAACACACACTGCAGTTCCAGCTCCAGTAAGCAGCTATTCTGAAGAGTGGACATGCCATGCAAAGGTCGTCCATCCCCTGCGCCAAAGATGGGCGTAATAAACACATAACCCTGTGGGTGGGCTTGATGGTGCTGTCAACTGGTATGGGGCTCTGCGCCACTGCCTTCTAATGCGTGTGTTTGCGGGCCAAATACATTTGGTGCACATCAACAAGCATACATTCTCACACAAATCCCTCCTTTCCATCAACTTAAGTGATATAAATCAGTAAGATGCATTTAAACTAATAACAAAACAGCTGAGAAAAACAGTCACACCTTACATTAGTGTTCATGTAACAGAATAGCTTTAGTATACTGTAAAAATGTTTTTACTTAAAGTGCCTCTCTGACCTGATCTGACACTTACTTTTATTAGTGTGACCAACACACAGCATTTTTTTGTGTGAATTTTGTGTAAACATTGCGTAAAATAAGGGTTCGTTTTGACTTAAGCTATTTTGCGTACATCTCTGTGGTCAATAAATTGAGTATGTATGGTGACATTGGCCAATTTGAATTGTTTAGAGCAATATCGAAATGTTTTAAACATATTTCTACATGTTCGAAAACAGATATTCAGAACTATTTTTTAACGGTTTTATTTTGTTAAAATTTGACATAATAATAATATTTTTATTATTATAATAAAACAACATGCATTATAGAGAACTATAGATATTTTAATAAAAAAGGCAAAAATATTACAAGTTATTGTGATATTAATGAAAACACAAATGTACAAAATGTGCAACAACTGCTTATTTGTACCCTGATATTGATGAACGAATTAAGTTACAACGTTTTTTTTTTTTTTTAAGCTCAAAACCATTTATCGATCTACTTTTAAATGCATTTTAACATTATATCAGCCAGTGGCCACCTTTCCGTCTAAATTAGTCATAAAAAAAACATTGGTTACAACTAATATTTAATAACATGCTTGACTTGACTAGTTAGTAATAAGACTTAGTAATAAGACTGGTAATAAACTGCATAATAAATTGAAAAAATTAAGTTATGTGAACTTGACAATTCCACCATTTTTTTCAATTACGTATGAAGTTTATTTACTTAATTTTGAGGCAACGGGTTTCCTCACTTTAAGTTAAAGGGATAACTTAGTGGCGTAAATCGATGCGTACGCCCGTCTGCCGGAAACAAATTATTTTAGTCGATAAAGTTTTAAATATGGATATTTTTCTTACACAAACGCATCGCTTTACTTCAGAAGGCCTTTATTAACCCCCGCAGATTTGTGTCGAGCACTTTAACCATGAATAGATGCGCTTTAATGTACTCCCAAAGTCAAACAGCCATTCACTTACATTATAAAGCTTGGAAGAGCCAGGACATTTTTTAATATAACTCCGATTGTATTGGTCTGAAAGAAGAATGTCGTATACACCTAGGATGGCTTCAGGGTGAGTAAATCATGGGCTAATTTTCATTTTTGGGTGAACTATCCATTTCAACTGATCACTTTTTTAAAGTGTACTTAATATGATTTTTTTTTTTGTGGATATTCTTGTAAACACATTTTGTTAGCAACACTGGTAATGTAATCCATTATATTTGCATGTAATATGTGTAACATGAACACTGTAAGGTAAAGTCAGAAAGCTCTAGATAAAGAAAAGGAAAGTTATTGTCAAAGAAGTGATGCAAATAGCCTTATACCCTGCAACAGAGCACAGAACTAAATCAGATGCATTAAGCATATTCCTGATCCCATGAAGTCATTGTCGAAGACAATTTCATTTTTGTCAGATCAGACTATCTGCAAAATCATGAAATTAAAGCATCTGCAAGCTCCTTCAACAGCTCAAAGGCGTGCTTTGGATTTCCAGCCAGTTCTACCACAGTTGCGTAAGAGTTTGCGTGACTTAAAAATATGTTAATTTGAGGAGGGGGAGCGACGAAGAAAAAGCAAAAAGGAAAAGAAAAAAATCTGTGTTCTCATGATGTGAAAAAAGACTATATCAGATTACAATAACATACTCCCCCCGGCTCACCCCTCCCTCGTGTAAGCATCGCGTGAGAGCGCCGCCAACTCTCAACTTGATTATGATTAATACAAGAGTAGCCTACTATTTCCATGCCAGACCCAGAACTATACACACCAAGCCCGAATCTTAAGGTGTCCCGACCCATACAGAACTGGGTCAAATTCAGACTCGCTTTTGTTTGCGATGCAATAGACGCTAAGTTTTCATCATAACAACAACTTCGTATACAGCCATCAAAACTTGGCGCAATAATGGTCATTTCTACTCAATTTTATGACTCCAAAGTCTTCAATTCAATTCAAAGTGGCAGTAAACAAACTAGTTGTGACTTTGACACCACATTTATTTTACTAAGCAGAAATTTAAGTTTAAGTTTTCGATTGTATTTGTTATGTTTGTTTCTTGTTTTTACAGTAATTTAAACTCTACCGAGATTCATTCAAAAGTTTTGAATCACCCCAGGGAGATGAAAAAAGCCACTTTATAGACTACACACACACACACACACACACACACATGCGCGATATAGATATATATATATATATATATATATATATATATATATATATATATATATATATATACACACACGCAATTCCAATTGTAACACTTTTTAAGATGTAATATGCATATATATTATTAACTAACTAAACTAGAGTTTGCTAAATATAACACACTCCATTCTATTGTCAAAATATAATAGTGAAACATTACATAGCCGCTCGAATTATTGCTACATTGTATCAATAACCTTGATGCACGAGACGCGAGCGCGCTTTGAACTTGAACATGAACATGAGATCCCCACAAAGACTTACATTTTCTGAACGGGCTTCTTCCGTTTCTTGGCCGCATAGATACCGATACCCCCCGACATGGTTGTCTGGTGTAGGCTATCTGAGAAGTGTTTAAAATATGACTAGCATGTAAAATCCCCTCAGTTTCCTTTAACTGTCGATGAAAGTGTGAGTTATTCAGGTAAATCCTCTCACATGTGCATAAACAAGAGGCGAATATTTCCCGTCCAGATGTAATTCCTGTCAGCGGCAGTTCTTTACACCAATAGCAGGTTCAAATGAAAGCGAAAAGTTTCCGAAAGTTTTCATCCTCTACACGGCGAATGCAATGGCGTGAGCTGAACAAATTTTCCTTCTTCCTTTTTTGTTTTTTTCGACCTGTCATTCTCTAGTGGCTCCACACAGCCCTTGTAGGGAGCTGACTGGCTGCGAGTTCTGAGCGTCGACCAACCAGAAGCGTTAGAACGACAGGCAGGTAAGCTGGACGCTTTGTGATTGGTTGGAAAAGTCTTCAGGAAATCATAAATACAGGAGCCGCTCTTAAGGTGGACCAGAGAAATACAAGCAGCATTGCACCCTCATTCGGCTGCACTATGGTACAGCTGCAGTGTAACTTGTTAGTGCATTGTTGTTATTATTGTTTTATATACATTTATTTCATAAAGAAATTGTGTATTATAAAATACAAAATCAAACTATTAGTGGTGTATTAACTTAATTAGTGGTAATTTAATGTAAACACTAAAATAGTTGTGTTTTACTGCTTTTCATATGTTTATTATCCATAGTTATTGTAGGTAGTTGTTGTTGGCCTGGCCTGCAAGTATTTGCACACTTTGCCACTCCTAAAATGTCTGAATGTCATAGCATTACATAACACAGTCTCTGAACCCGTGTTGTTATTCTTGGAAGATATACAAGAGCACCTTTCAAACAAAATAGGCTATATGACAAAATAACTTTATTATGATACAACTATAGATATACTGTTCAAAATGAAGTCAAACAGTATTGTGACACTTTTGTCTGGTTGTGAAATGGACTGCTAATGTGATGAACTACACCCGTGTGAACTTGAGGGGAACTGACTTCATACATCCCCTGAAATCATCTTGGGACCAGTTGATTACAAGCAATTACAAAAAGAAGGAGAGTTCTGGGAAAACTGTAGCAGGATTTTTAGTTTGCAGATTTTGTTGTCTAATGCAGTGACATTCAAATATTTTAGTGAAGCTAAAGTGTTCAAATAGCTACATTTTGCCACCATGCTTCCCATTTAAAACCAGGCTTTTGAATAAAATCATGCACCATTTAGAAAGATACAAATCTGTTGTTTCACTGTATAGGACAGGAATAACATGTGACTGACTGTGTTAGTGGAAAGATTCAGTCACACAAATGCCAAATGCTATCTTCATCCATTCCTGGTTACTCACATGACAAGATTTTGATCCAAGTTTATGGTCATACAGTATATTGTATATATTTTCAGTAATTTGGGACACGTTCACAGTGTTGCCTTCAAATCAGTAAATAAAATTATATATATATATATATATATATATATATATATATATAAACAGATTGTAGGCCAAGACACTTATAATAGAATAATAAAAATAATTCTAAATATATTTACAAAACTCATCTCTGGTTAATTTCAGTCTTATTACTATTATTATAGCCTAAATATTATATTATTGTAAGTAATATATTAATACATACATAATATTTATTATTATTATTATACTATGTATGCACACAAATAAATAACTATAGCAAATATATAAAAAATTAATTAAACAGAAAATAATAATAATATCTTTAATTATTTCTAATATGTAATATATTTATTTACTTCTATTTAATTTGTTTATATTTTTATATATGTATTTATTTATGATAATAATAATTGTAAAATTTTCTGTAGAAAATGTGAGTGGTTCTTCTTACCTTGCCTCAACTATTCTAGGGTGTTCTGGTGGTTGCCAGGGTGTTGCTATGCAGCTGGCTCAGGTCCTTTCATCAAAGTAAGTATATGATATATATTTTTTTATCCTGTTTTAGTCCACTAGGACAAAAGCCGTAATTTAATCACTTAAATTATTATCACTCATCTGTTTAGCACAAACGTGCAGGATAAGATACGGATCAAAGTTGAATTCACACCACTAAAAAGCTTAAAATAGGCTGAACTTAAAATTGTTAATTTAGAGCTCATACGGTCCAGGTTTATAAACTTAATCTGTAAAGTTCAATGCACACAGCTATAATCTGTCAGTTTAGGTAAGAAGATAGGATGTGCCTCAGGCCTTGCTTTCCCCACATTTGATTTCCTTGCTTTCTAATACCTTTCTCATTGTGTGTGTGTGTGTGTGGCGGACGTGTCAGTAATAGTGTCTACAGTCACGCTCTACAAGTCAGGTTTCTATATCTTCACCTCAGGTATTGTCTTTTAGCCCAACGTTTAACAACCAAAAAAACAGGAAATGCATACAGACACTTATCTAAACACACACACACACAGACAGCGCGAGAGAGAGAGAGAGAGAGAGAGAGAGAGAGAGAGAGAGAGAGAGAGAGAGAGAGAGAGAGAGAGAGAGAGAGAGAGAGAGAGAGAGAGAGAGAGAGAGAGAGAGAGAGAGAGAGAGAGAGAGAGAGAGAATATTTGGCATATTTTCAAAGTAAAACAATAATGCCCGTATTTTCAATAATTTAACAGTAAAAAAAAAAAGCCCCTGCAATCAAGGCCTTATACTTTTTGAACATGGACCAAGAATGTAAAAGCAAAAGCATAAATGTGTCTCTCTGAAAATGACCAAATTTGAAAACCACTATTATTATTGCTCATTATTAAGGAGTAATATGCTGTAACTTTTACAATCAATCGGTCTGGTGAGCCATAAAACAGGTGAAAAATTCCTGGCATGGAAGGAGGGACTCAAGCCCAAGGAACTAGAGAAATCAGAGAAACCCTAGGAAACAGCCTAGCAACCACCCAGAACACCTTAGCAACATGCTGAACACCTCCTAGAACACAATAGGAACCTCATAGCAACACATTAAAAAAGCATCCACACCTAGAAACCACCAGTAGCAACCACATAGCCACATGATTAAAAACCTATGATTAAAAACCTAAAAATCGGAACACATTATAAACTTAATAGCAACACATTAGCAAACTTTCATGCATAAAAATCACCTAACAACACGGGGAAAAAAGCCCTCTCAGAACACTTTAGCAACACTTTGAAAACCATAACAACATGCTAATAGCCTCTCTGGACACATTGGGAACTTCGCATTGACAGGGGAACTTCGTAGTAACAGTGGTAAACCTCCATACCTAAACCTTGTCGTGTTTACAACGGCAGGTGCTTTCAAGTCACTTTCGTTGGAGTAAGATGGTGGTGTACTTTCTCTTAATTAATTATACAAAAATACAGCAAGGTTGTATCCTTTTACAACAAGGAATGTGCATCAGGTGTGTTTAGCTTTTTTATGTTTTCAATTAATTATCGTTACATATTGTATTGTTATATTAACAATGCTATCATATTTTGTGCAGGCAATTCGCCTTTGGCTAAGCCACACCCTAGAATGTAGATTGACCAATCACAGCGCAGCCAAGAACGAGCTCCCACAGAGGTCCGACACTTTTTCACAGCGCTCCATTGACTTTAACACAGGCGTCTCATATTTTTTGTCTCGGCAGGCTATTACCGTCGTAGTTTTATCAAAAATATGGTTAAACGTTGTGCCTGGGGCATTTGTAACACAGATACACGTTTCCCAGAGAGGTTGGAGGGGGGTGTCTGTTTTTTTCCCCTTCCCAAAACCGAAGTCAAATCCTGACAAGTGTCGTCTAGCACACACTGCTAATAATACAACGTTATACTCGCGTAGTCCGTTTGCTTTGTAATAACGATTATAGAAGTGAATAGAGACCTGCAGCTTTGGATGAACAGTGTTGCTCCTTGATATTGTTAGTCAGCCTCCGTCTCGATTAGTAGGATATGCGGTGGTTCATTTTTTGACTGTGACCTCTATTTGGATGCCTTGTTGTTCCTTGCGTTTTACCTGTATGTCGTGAATATAGCGTGAATATAGCCTTCGAACGTATATTGCAGCCCCTTTTGGTCTACTTCTATCGGACACTTTATTTGCTGCTTTATAAAAGTTTGATAAAATTTCAGCAGGAAGAGCTGTCACAGCATAAGCCATGTTGATACCAGAGCCCATGAAGTTTGTTTGTCGGACGTAGCAACAGTAACTAAGGGGGGCGGGGCTTAGCCAAAGGCGAATTAGTTTACTTCACTTTAAGAAAAGCCTGACAATATCATTGATAAATACTTTTAAATATTGTGGTATTCTGCCATGTTTCTCACCCAACTCAACTTGAATGCACCATATTTGTAAGCTGTCCTCCATATTGGAACGGTCAAAGCCGGTTGACTGAGTGTCTGCAACCTTATATATGATTTTGCCAAACTAACACAATAAGACGAAGGCATTGTCAGCTAACACGACATTAAAAAGTTACCAAAGTAAAAGTAAAAATTAAAAAGAACCACAGTAAAATCTGTAATTATTGAGTTAATATAGCCTATAGAAAAACACAAACCAGCACATTCTCACTTTTGCTTTGAAAGGTTATCCCGTTTCTTTGTGAATTTAAATCTCAGTGGTTTCACAATCAGAAGCTGCAATGTTGTGGTAACATTTATTCTTACTGTGAGTGACAACACTTTGAACGTTCCAAGATGGCGGGTGCGCCGACGTGTCTGAAGCGGCCGAATGTAGCATCTAGGCCTACTTATAGGCTACATAGGCTATCTTTCCCTAAACCACCCAGAACACCTGAGCAACAAACAAACAAACACCTCTCAGAACACATTAGAAACCTCATAGCAACACATTAGCAACCATACACACCTAGAAATCACCTAGCAACATGCTAAAATCTCTCTGAACACGTTTAGCATTCCCCTAGCAATCATGATGATAGCGAGTTCAGCATAAACAAGCATTACTAAAAATCTAGTTGGTTGTATAAATTAATCGCCAGTGGGGTTTTTTTTCAGCTAAGATGGAAATTAAATCCCAATGTGCCACTTTTGTGTAAATATTAATTTAGCCCCCTTTCAATGTTTCCTCAAGAAAACAGAGGAGCAGCACGACGGCTCTTTGCCAGCGCGCGTGGGAGGTTTCCAGGCAGTGCTGCTCATTAGGTTCATGAGGTCTCTGCATGTTCGCACTGAATGACAAAGCTGTTTTCTGTTCCATAAGGAGCCGTATCGGACCTCCGTACACAGTTTACTCTGTGGCGATTTGTCAGCGTGGTGTTTGAAAGTCCAGTCATGCAGT